AATTTTTATAAATATTATTTTCTTTAAATGAAAAAGGTTTTAGACTAGCTAAGATGACATCCTGGCTGAGACATTTCTATTAGAGTGATTTATGGTTGTTTAGACAGAATTTAGCTCTTTGTGTATAGTACGGCTTATCAAAGTGTGCGCTGCTGTTGTGGACACACCCAGCCTGCAGAATTCAGGAGATGTCCCCTAGTCACTTATTCTGTGGCCTGAGAACACAGTAACTAGGGTCTGGTGCAAAACTAACTGATTTTAATTACAAACCAGGACTAATTATCAGTCTCTTAACCTTTCCTGCCTTCAGCTGCTAGTAAAAGTTGCAAATGAAAAGTGATTAAAATTTTGGAGAATCTGTGCAGTGCAGAATTAGGCACTGCATTTTCTTCTGTGGTGACTGGGACTTTAGAGAGCATCTAAAGGTCCCTTCCAACCCAAACCAAACATTCTATGATCTTGAGACCACACATGGTGTTCTAGGTAGATAGGTCTTGCTTGGGATCTGGCCCTCAGTGCTATCTATGTTCCATTTTCCAAAGTTCTTGGGTTAGGAGTCAGACCAATGGCAGTGATTCAAAGCTTGGAAAACTTCCTTTCTTAAAAAAAGGCTTGGGAAACTCCCTCTGTTGAATCAGTGTGGTTGAGAAGTATTTTGACTGTTGTCCATCTGTATGTACCTGGAAAAGAAAAATTTCTCAGAGGCAGAGCATAGTTTAGCGTAGCTAAGCAAGTGAAATGAGCCGACTAGAAAGGGAATGGCTGTGGGGTGGGCAGGTGATATCCTTGTAAGTGGAGGGAAAGACCAGTGAGTTGTTCTGGATCGTACGGCACATTTCCTGTTAGCCTGTGCTGAAAACGTAGAGCTGGCGAAGGCCTCTTAGGTCATACAGTCCATCTCCTCAAATGAAGAGAGCCTGCTGCAGATCGAGCTGTGCCAGGGCTTGCACACATGGCAAACCCAGCGTGTGGTGTGTCACAACAGCTGTCAAAGACTGGTCGTCATACCCAGAGTCTCTAAACATCCTGTTTATCCTTGCAAGGAGAACACTTGATTGAAAGATAAATACCAAAAAAAAAAAACCAAAAAAAACACCCAACCCCAAAATTGGTGCTAGGAACAACATTTGCCCTTGGGCTAACAAACCTGAAAACAAAAGAAAATAAACATAGGATGGAGGCAAACAGATTTCCACACAAGGCCAGATTCTAAAAGGGATTTAGGAGCTTAGCTTGTTTTGGCATGCTTGAAAAAGAAAAAGCCGTCTGGGTGCCAGGATTCTTAGGGCTCCGTATGTGCATGCGTACGTCAGGGGAAGAGCATGGGGAAAGATGGGGTGTCTGTGGTGATGTGAGGGGTGAATGGAGGATGTTGGAGCTGCCAGGAAGCTTTGTGCAGGGTCACCCTTGGGGCATAGCTTGCACATTTTAATTTTTTAAAAAAATTAAACATGCCGACAAAAAAATCTCCAAGTTGGCAGTGAGATTTTTTTTTTTTTTCCTTCCCCCTCTGTTTGTTGTTCATTTGTCGCTGCACGGGAGGTCTGTTTACTTTGCTCAAGAGAATGAGGGACCCAAGAGACGCTGCTCTGCATGCAAAGCTTTTATGGAAGGGGCTAGGGGAAGAGAAGGGGAGGAACTTCCAGGCCTTTTGAAACAGAACTGAAAGAGTTTGTGGGCTGGTTTTTTTGCTGCTTTGCCCAACCCAATGCATGTTGGGCCCAATGTTGCTACTGCTTATGCAGACATAGCTGGGCCATGAACTTCAAAGATGGGTCCTGCTGTTAAGGGCTGAGCAGGCAAATCTCTACAGGGTGAGCGTGAGGAGGCCTGAGAAGCCCTAAGGCTCGATGTTGAAGCTGTGAATAGCTGTCTAACACCGAAGTGCCCCCAAAATGCCCCCGCTCTGCCCATGGGATTGCTTCTGGTGGGTTGCTTTCAAACTGGAGGTGGTGCTGCTCTCTCCCACCACTACCCTGTTAACCCTTCTGAATGAACTGGCCCTGAAGTTAGGGGTGAACTCATCCGTGCCATTAAGATGCTCTCATGGATGACCCAAATGCAGCCCTTCATTCCAGGGATTTAGCGTTTTAAAGAGGACTTTTCCAGAGCTGTGTGGCAGCCTGCTGCTGCTGATCTTTGTTGCTTTAGGTGACTCAGTCAGCTTCTGAATGCTTCAGTTTCTGCAGCTGGGCTCACTAGTGATTGAAACCCGACTGGAGATCCAGCAGAAGGAGGGAAAGTGGAGATCTGCATTACTTGTGCTTGCTGGCATCTCAGTGGATGAGGCAGCTTTGTCCAGACGGATCTTCCTCATGTTTTACGATGCTGAAACAACTAGAAAAGGACAGTGGGGAGAAACTAAGGATGCTGTGCGAGGGGAGTGAATGTCTTTAGGTTAACAGATGAGCACATCCCTGGGATACTTCTTTTATGTGTGTTCTTCTAGGTTCTGGGTGGCGAGAGCAGTAGCAGGCAGCTTCCTGGAGTGTGAGGTAGGTCAAGGGAATGGCTGATGAAAGTGATGGGTAATTCAGCTTGGAGCTATGCTGTGCTCTGCCATTTGGAGTTTTCCTATCCTTTTTGACTTGTGAGAGAGGACAGGAACTGATGGGTCTGCCTATAGCCTGAGTCTTGCATTCAAAGCGGTTCTTTTCTAACCCAAGTCAGTTCTTCTGTACTGCCCTAATGCATAGCAGAACAGAGAAATTTCAATTGGCAGAAATTATCTCCATGTTTCCTGTTTTAACCAACAGGAAAGCTGCTCAGCAATCCCGGGACGTCCTTCTGTGTTGTAAAGGATCCCTTAAATACTGGTACGCACCATGCTGTTTTGGCCACTTTGTCTCCAAGAGGAGGGGGAGGTCAGGAGCCAGCTGTGATTGTGGTTAAGGAAACAAAAAAAGACCTTTTGTGAAAAGAGATTGAAAAGCCTGTAAAATAGTCATTCTAGAGGAAGGAGGAGTGAGAGGCAACATGATTAGAGGTGGGCTCTCCAGAAGTACCTCCCTTTACAACATATATGAGTGGGGACCCTCAGTGAAACAAAAAAGAAGGCAAGATAGAAACTAGCACAGAAATATTTTCACTCCACGTCGGGTTAGATTAGTGTTGTGCAATTCTTTGCCACAAAATATCAGGGCCAAGAACTTAGCTGGATGCAGACACACTCTGGCTGTTTCTGTGGATAACCAAGATATCAAAGAGCTAATGGTAATATTAAAAGAACAAGAGTTTTGGGAAGTCATCAGTGCCACATGTGTCAAGGCACAAGCTGACTCAAGCAGATGGAGGTGGGGATAGGAAGAGACTTATTTCCTTGGGAGGCGAAATACCCTGTGAGCTGTCTCTTGCAGCACTCCTTTTTCTGACCTCTGTATCATGTCGTGTTGCAGAATCCCAGCCGAGATGGAGCTTGGGAAAGATGGCAACCTGGGCAGCTGTCTCAGCTGCAGGACATCTAGATGCGTGTTAGTCCCTGTGGGAAGGTAGAGCACCTTCTGCATTCTTCAGCTGTTGGTTGTGAATGTCATGATTTCCCCTCCGAAAAAAAAGGTAATTTCTGTGGCCTGGGAATCAGGAGAGTGAACTTAACTTCCAAACTGTATTCATCTGAGCTTGGGTCAATTCCTTAACCTCTCTTTCTGATTTCATTTTGTGTCATAGAAATTATCTGGGGATGATTGCTCTCCTTTGTCCCCACTTGTCTTTTTGGCTAACATCTAGGGGTCCTGAGTGAAAAGTGTCCCCTCCGTTCCCACTGTGGTTGAGTATGACACACTACACAAAGTGTCGATATACTGAGGCTGAAGGCTTGTTCCATAACTTGCTTTTTTTTAATCACATAGTTAAAAACTATCTGGAAAAAGTAGTATGGGAGCTCTGAACACCTTAGCTGTAGAGCCATGCCATTCAGCAACAACTCCTCAGTAAAAGAGCTGTTTATTTTTATTGTATTTTCTTTTCACCGCTTTTAATAGCTATAAACAACCTCTTTGTGGAGCGTGTCTTAAAACTTGTGACCAGCTGGGTGAGGGGCCTTCGTATCAATTTCAAGCCTGTGGAGAGGGGAGCATAACAGGTCCCTGACTGCTCCAGCCACCTCCTGCCTGCCAAGGAATGCTGGAATCAGAGGTCGTTATTGCACAAGTAATTAAAGGTTCATCAGCCCTACCTCTCTGATTGCTTAAGGCCATTGTAGTAAGGGACAAATACTCCTGCTTGCCCACTGTTATTTGTTTTCTGCTTGCTCTGTTTTTCTTGGCTTGAGAAGAGGAATTATGAAGACTCTTGAGTAGGATCTGGGAGTGCTACGGTCTAATGCATTTGGCTGTGGCCCTGGGTATGTTGTGGAACACGCTCGTACTGAGAAGTGGAGTGTCTTCAGGGCCCTCTCTCTTCCTGCTTCTCCCCCAAATCCAGACGTCAGAGAGATGGTTCTCAAAAAGGAGGGCCAAGTTGCACAGGCCCTGGCACAGAGTGGGTGAAGCCAGGCTTGGGGATGTCTGTAGAGTGGTGCCTCCGAATGGCTGAAGTGCCTCCTGCCCTCACATTAGCAGATACAGGGGTTTTATTACAGCTGAGTTGGATGCCAAAAAAGTGAGATTGGTTTATAAGCGAGGGTTTCCTATGGATTTTCTTAAAGGGATTCTTTTTTTCTTTCTGTGGTTTGAACTCTGAAGTTCAGGTTTTTGTATGTTTTCTCTCCATTATAGTATGTGAGAAATTACTTTGTTTTTTAAATAGACACTGAGACTCACATATGGGCAGGGGCCTCTTAAAAAAAAGAAAGTACCAAATATTGTGAGTCTTTGACAGAATCACAAGAGCAGGGCAGACTGAGCCACCCACCCTTTAACCATCTGTCCCTTGAGATCTGGAGAGTCTTTTATCGCTGGGGAGCACAGCCCACAGACGTGGGAAGTCATGTTGCTGTCCTCCAGTTTTTTCTTCTGTAGGTGAATGTTCACCACCACCACCAAATAAACGAGCCCCCGTTATACTGACTCTCCTTGTGCTTCCAGAGCAGCGGAAGAAACAGCTGAGAAGGAAATGAGAGCTGGCTTTCAGCCCCCTTGGTCCAGTAACATCATGAATGAGCCTCGCAGTATGGCTGGTGCAGGGTGGGCATTTCCCTCCCTCCTGGGAGCATAGAAGAGGACCAAGCTTGGACTGTGCTTGCTGCCTGCACCCCAAAAGCCTCCTTGTTGCTGAAGGCGTTTTGCCCTGGAGAGCCTGGCTGCAGGGGCTTGGCTGTAGCTCAGGAACAGCTTGAAGGGCATGTGTTGGGTAGGCAGATGGAGCAGATGATGGAGATGATCTGCAGAAGAAGGGGAAGTGGTGTGAGAAGGGGAATGATAAAAGGGCAGCCGCGTGGGTGACCCTGTGGGATCAGAGGAGGGCAATAACTTATCTCAAAACGAGTGAGGGGCCAGCCACGAAGTTGCCTGGAATAAGCGGCTGAGGCAGAAAAGGGCTGGTGGAACTATTAAGTCTGGCAGACCTGAGGTTATTCTCTGTGTGCGTCTGCGGGGGAGTCAAATAACTTCTTGGTCAGTCTGCAGAGGCTGTCTAATCAACGGCCTCAGTGCTGGTCACAGCCCGGGATGCTCCAAGGTAACACTAATCCTGCCGCAGAGCAGAGGGGCGTCTCCAGAGGTCCCAGGGGCACTGCATCTTGACACATGAACGCAGCCCCCAATGCAGCAGCCTTACAACAGACACTGCGTAATGGCCTGTTTTGCATTTGTATTTCATTTGCCTCCCATATGGGATCAGTTTTTCCCTTTTCTTTATTTTTTTTAATAGCGTTTTTCCTAGTCATAATAATCAGTATTTCCCTGCCTTCCCTCCCCTCTTCATTTTTCACAGCTGGCTTTGATTGGTTTCAGTCCTGCAGATGCTCCTTCGGACTGAGAAGAAGGGGCAAAGGTTCCCTTCCTTTTCAACATGAGGCAGACGGCCTTGCCCGCAGGGTGGGGGAGGCCGGCGTGCTCCCGGACTAGCCGACTCTTTGCTGTTGCCCCAGCTGGCCTCTTGTGCATCGGGTGAGGTTTGCCAAATTGCGAGATAATTTCTCTGCCGAAGGCCTGGAGATGATCACAAGCTGTTGATGGCGTGCATGCCCCTTCACTCGCACCATTCAAAAATAGCTGTTCTTGCGAGCAAGAGGAGCAGAATCCCCAAACTCCTTGTGCTCACCAGCTATGGGCACAGAGGGCCAGAGTGCATCTGTGATCTGCAGAGAGCGTGCTGAGACTGACTTGGATTTCTGTGTCTGTGTGCCGTCAGGCTCATGGCAACCGCAGCCCCATGTGTCTGGCTGTGCAAGGTATGCGGTCCTCCGCACAGGGCACGATGAACCTGTGCAACCCTGCATAGCCCACCACCAAAAGGAACTGGCAGCTGCTCGGGTGGAAAGCACGCCGAGTGCGTGAATTGGCATGGGAAAAAAATAATTATCGGATGGACGGGCAGACTTTCCTGATTTTTAGGGCATGAGTCAAACATGAATTGCATAGCAGAAAGAAGAAACTTCCCCTCAGAGACAACCTAATCCACAGTTGCCCAATGTGGGGATTCTAGCAACTTCCTTCGAAGCAGCTTGCGCTGGTCACTGTCAGAGACGGACGGTTGAGTCGACAGTCGCTCAGCCGATGTGTTATGGCTATTCCTGCATTCCAGGCACCATCCAAGAGAATGAGACATAGCATTGCACAAGACCAAAAGAAAGTAAATGTTTACAGGCACAACGCACATTTCAGCTTGTTACATGTTCCTGGGCAGTGAAAGAAATGAAACAATGATTAAAACAGGTCCCAAGTCTCAGTGTGTATCTTGGCTTGCAGCACAGCCCTCTTGGAGCGCTGCCTCTGCCTCTCTCTGATCCCAGCCTGAGCGGTACCACTGGGCCGCTGCATCCAGGTCAAGGTCCTTCCCGTTATTCCAAGTACATTGTCCTTCTGAGAACTGCAAAAGCCTTTTGATGAGGTGGCTTTATGGCTTGTGATGGATTCGGGTGCTTGGTGTTCCCCCCCCAGGCACACAGCAGCTGGCATGCAGGGATCTCCCCAGCTGACTAGGAGATGTTTGCCTTGGGTATCCAAAGTGTCAGTGTGAGGGAAATCATAGATGGACTTATTCCCATGGGAGAGGAGGGTTGAGACAAGTAGAGGAGCGGAAGCAAAGCAGACATTTAAATTGTTTCTTCCCTAAATTATCTCTTTTTAATGGTCTAGTTTGGCTCTGCATGCATTCAGCGAAGCAATTGGGGTGCAGTGAAGCCGATGTAGTGAAGGGCTGTGTTGGCACACCTGACAGGAGTAGCTACCTCTGCTCTCCTGCTCTAAGTACAAGGTTGGTCACAGCACAGCTTGGAGGCTGGGATGTCTCCCTGCGGTGAGCCAGGTGGGTGGAGGGGAGAAGGGACATGGTTTAGCGGTGGGATAGCAGGGTTAGGTTAATGGTTGGACTTTATGATCTTAAAGGTCTTTTCCAACCTAAACAATTCTATGATTCTAAGAGGGCCTCTGCTCTGGCTGCTCTGCCCCCTCTTTTTCCAAGGAGAAAAGTGGAGGGACGTGGGGGGGGGAGTTGTTTTGCAGGAAAGGATGAAGCAATGGAGTCTTTCTCCTTAGGATAAGGAAATAGGGAGAGAGCAGAGAGGTGACTGAAACACCCTCTCCCCAGAGATGCTCTGTGGGTGATGCTCCCCATGTATCCCTACCTCCTCCCAAGCTGTGAAGTCCTTGTAGCGTTGTCTTGGCCTTCACAGCAGGAGAAGGTCACCCTGAAGGTTAGTTCTTGGCAAGGAGGAAGGCCTTTTTAGTAACGATCAGCCTGCTGTGCACATGGCACAGGAAGACAGACCTCCACACGTGCGTTACGCTGGCCTCAGACATAAACTGGATATCCACTTATGAGCAATAGCCCTAGCTGCTGACTCACATCACTTTTCTTGGTTCTCTCAGTTGAGCGGTGAGCTGGCCAGATATTATTCATTTTACTTGAAATAACAACTGAGATGTCTACTGAAGGTATAAATGTCTAGGCTTCCTACAAGGACCAGAGTGAAATCCCAAAAGCCTGCAGGAACTTGTGCAACAGGCTGTCTCTGAGAGCAGACCTACAGCACTGGCTAATGCCCGCTGTATCAGGCAGGACAAACATCCACAGCCATTGCTGAGTCTGCAAATAGGTTAGATTTGTTGTTCAGTTTGTTATTTAAAGGGTGCTTTTAAGAGGTGGAAGCTACATGGCCCCTGGCCTTATGTGACTTAATTATTTAAGGTTCTTGTTGTTATGGAGAAATGCTGACTTTTCTATAGGGCAAGTTGCAACCTGCTTGTATGCAATGTTCTGTTACAGCTTTTCTCTATCCTTGGGAAAACCAGGTTTGATATGAGACTTGCTAGGCTATTCTAAAAGCAAAGGACAATGTTTGAATAAAGCCAGGGGAGGAAAAAATTGGCCAGTGTGCTTGTCAGTCACTAAGTTATGAAAAATTATTTTAAGAATTTGATACTTGTGCTCCTCCTGCTCAGAAACAACTTATCACCAGCTCTTCAAAGTTTTAGTGTAGTTAAATCTCCTTAATAACTTGCATAGTGGCTATTGTTGAGGCAAATAAAACCATTATAAACACTTCTTGTTGTCGAGTGCGTAGGGAGCCTAGACTGGGAGTTAAGGTCCCAAACCTAGTCCTGTCACCACTGATGGGAAGTTGTTTTGCCCTCTCTTTTCCATTGAAGTTTCCCTGGATATAGTATAGAGCAAACCAGATGGGCGTGATGACATTTCTCTAACTGAGAACTCCCAAAAATCTTCCTGTAAAGATTATCTGCTTTGGTCTTATTGGGGTAGTAAAGGCTTGTGTTTGTAAAGCGGAAGAGCCAGCTTTTCAGAAGTCTGTTTTCTTACAGAATGCTTGACACAAAAGCCATAATTCTGGGATTTTGGTTCCCTTGTTAAGTCCTCATGCTTTCAAATTCTTGGAGCTAATTTTCATTGACAATAGGAACATTCCTTGAAAAATGCTGATGTAATGAAGTACGTGCTACTTGAGATTAAAAGATTTATTCAGTGACTCCTTTTTGAAACTTTTGCGAAGTGTCTTAACATTTTTATGTTTCTCTGACTGCCAACAAAATCACATTGCACCACACAGTTTGCAACATTAGTCAGATTTTGACACTGGCTCACGCAAGAGGCAGCTTTCACAGTCAGGAATCATAAAACGTTAAAGAAATTGCCATTATTTGAAAACTAGACACAGTTCAGTGAAGCAGATGGACTTGCTAACAGTGACTTAGGAGGTCTGTAGCACAGCTGTGTTGACACGGATTATAGACAATCAAAATTGTATATAAAGTGCATGCCATAGTTTTAGTTTTAAGCATATTGCTAACATTTAATGAAGTATGTAACCTTATATGGTTTATGTATTTTTGTACTGTAGCTGCAAGTTATGCTAAGGCCTTGACTAAACCTTCCCAGAAATCTCTATTGCTATTTGTAATGCAGGCACACAGACCGAGAGTGCCAATAAGCTTTTGATTGAATCTTGATTAATGTAAATACGTTAAGCCGGTAGGTGCCATTCCAGCCTAGGGAGCTTCTTATAGCTTTTAACCATGTCCACATCAGAGTTGGAGCCCCTTTGCTTCAGATAATTCCAAAAGACCAACTGGAGAATGTTTGGACTTGCTTGTGAAGGATCAGGGATAGAGACATTCCTGAAGCCCCTGGCTGGCTTTTTTGCAACACCATCCCAATAAAAATTAAGCCCTCGGACACAAACTTAGGAAAGGAAAGAAGAAAGCAGAATTCTGATATGTTTCACAACCATACTCTGATCCCAGGAGAAAGGTTGGGTAAGAAACACTGTGATCTTTCTTACATGTCTGTCTATCTTCAAAGTTGTCAGTTAGTTCCCTTTTACTACTCAGGTCTCTTGGGTTAGGTGAGCAAGTTGCCTAATAGTTTCAGTGCATTGCTTTAGCTAATTGGTTCCTCATCTAAGCCAGCAGAGAGGGGGTGTAGGAGAGCAGCGTGGAATCAAGTGGAAAACGGGATACGTGGGGGGAGAGGAAGGCTTCATGAAGTGTGGTATGTTGCAGTGAGGTCTCGATGGGTGAGACGGATCAGAGCATCAGGTTCTCCTCCTGACTCTGGTGTATGATAGCATCTGGTGCCTTAGTACCTGTTTTGGTGGCAAAATTTGAAGACTTTAGTTTGCCAAGGAAATGTGCTGAATATGCATAATTTCTTCTGTGTGTGGCATGGGACAAGGCAACTCCAGCGTGGGGACTAACTTCTTTCAAAGCAGATCGTTGTGGGAATAACCCTCCTAATCTACATCGCTGCCAGCACTTGCTAGGAATTCTGCCTCTGAGCAAACAGTAACTGCAAAGGCACGTGATGAGAAAGGAGGAATAACAAAAGGAAAACATCCATTGGCTATGGTAAAGCTCTGCAGTGTCTTCTCCTTGTAGATGGCTTCTTCAAAGTAAAGGTAGTGGACATAATTCTGCAGGTTGGACCTATATGCAAAATAAATTACTTGTATCCCCACCCACACCTTTCTGTCTAGACTTGATGTTACAGATAACCATAGGCTAGTACTACTACTGCTACCAGGAGTCTGCCCTTACTTACCATGAAGGGAAGGATTTTAATCTGTCATTCTCTGATTTTACCTTTGGACAATTCCGCCTCTTAATGTAGCGTCATGTGAGGCATTAATGGCAAAAAGCTTCTTTCCAACCAACTTAAGCTTCCCCTTTCCCCAATATAGTTCAGGTCTTTCTTCAGTAAGCATCATCAGAGCTTTTCATCTCCTTCTTTTGCCTGTTGACTGCTGTATATGAATACCACCATGGTTCTTGGTATCTCCTTGGATTGGGTATCTTTGCACAGCAACAACAGAGAACAGAGGCTGATAGCCTGGCTTGTGTTTCAGGCTGGCAGATGCTTGACTCCTGTTGCATCTCAGCTTTCGGTGGACCTCTTGTCCTCCTTGTCCAAACTCTATGTATGCAGGCACTTTCTAAAGCCACATGCTGTTCTTCAGATGTCTGATCTTTCCCACTGCCTGCCTGCTCTACGTGTTGTTTCGGTGGCCTCTGGCTTAGTGTTCCTTGTGCCTTTCCGCCTCTGTGCCTTTCCCTATGGCATATTTTGGATTTTCTATCGTGTCAGCAGTGTCGGAGCATTGTCCATCTGCCACAAAGTTTGTGCTGGGCTGGCTGACTGCTAGCCACTTTACCAGGGTGCTTTTCTCTGACTGTTCCAGGTGCCAGTCACAGTCCAGACCCTTCTCAGAGGCTTAAGCCTCACTATTGCAAGCTGGGTAGTTCAAGGCCCTGACTTCCTCTTGATTTGCATGAATGGGCAGATCCTCAGGAAAGCCTTGTCTAAACCTCTTGTTTTTCCAGAAGGCTTTTTTTTAATTATTTGCTCCAGTCTTCCTTTCCATATGTCTTAGGTTTGTTTCAGCCCTCCTGTCACATGTTGTTCAGTGTCGCTTGGAGCCCAGGAGCCGGGGGAGCCTACTTCGCTGCTTGACTTCTCAAGAACTCCAGAATAGGCCTGTGCAACACAAACCTCTCTATTTTTAATGGGGCCTGTCCAAGGTATGGTTTCCTATTGTCATCTGGCCTAACTGGGTCACTGTTACACCTACTGGTATAACACTGCAAACACTTGTAGGCTGATGCCATTACTGCGTGATGACATTTCTCTGGCTGTCCAAATATTTCCTCTGACTTGTATTTTCTGTAACATCATTTTTTCTCCTGTTTTCTATGGCTTACTATACATTTCTCTGCTTTCTTTTTCTTTTTTTCCTGGTCTCCAGCTATTCTTGCAACACATGCAAAAAAAGTGCACAACTGTCAGATATTATTGTAGGACTCACAGTGACTACCTATCATTTTTGCTGCAAACACGATAGTTCTTTTCAGTTGTCTTTGCAAAATAAAACTATTTAATCAAAGAAGAAATCTTATTTTAAAAAAAAGTAATCCTGTCAGCCTTTAAAACATGCAGTGCCTTGATTTGTGGTTCCCATAAAATAGTGTGTCTTCAGCCAGAGTTGAGTTATTGCCTTAAGTGGCAGAAGAAATGAAAAATGGTGGAACCCTGTCTCCCTCTAACGCACGTGTTCTGGGGGTCACCAGTGATGTCATACCTGTGGCTGCGTCCCTGTGGCCCCAGCTATTTATTTTTAAGCAGAAATATTATTTCCTAATCTCAGTAAAACAATCCAGACAGTGAATTGTGGTATAATTACTGTATCTTTCCCTTGGCTGTATTTGCCGGAGTTCTGGCTCTGCGCACTGGAGGACCACCTCGATCGTTTTATACTCGCTTGGTTATGCCCTGCCGGTCGATCTGCTGCGTTATCACGGAGAGCCGGCTTGTCGTGATGCCTATGGAGGATGATATATGCATATCTGCACACTTATGCTAATGCAGGTGTGTCTCTCTTATTTTGGGGAGGGGGAAAAAAGGCACTTATACAAACAGCCTTAGACTATAGCAAAGCTGGTGCTGCTGCAGCTGCAGAGGTATCTGACCACACTTGGTCTAACAGCCTCGTAGAGTTTGCTCAACATGCCCCAGCTCCATGGCATAGTGTAGGGCAGGCACCAGTGCTTCTGAAGCCCTCCTGTGCAGTAGCACTGCAGCCCGTACCAGGGAGTAGTCAGCTCTGGATCAGGTAAATTAGGATGGTAACACAAATATTAGCAGAGTGTTGATCAGCTGAATCGTCCTGTGTGTGATCTCTTCTTCACCTTTTCTGCCCCATTCAGCGTAACTTGAGAATCTGATCTGATCTCCTCTGTGGCCTATAAAATCATAATAAGAGCTTTAGTGACGCCTCTCTAATTAAAGTTGAATTGAATTTTGCACTTCAAGCGTGACTTAAACATTTATTACTTGTGAAAAATTATACCATATCCTCCCCAATTTATGCCAAGCATTCTCTGAGTACCAAATGATATTTCCGAGAGATATTTTTTGTTGTTGCTTTTGCGAGTAGGAAATAAAAAGGGATCTGCTATGCAATCCGTGCATGCGGGGACAAATTTTAAAGCCAGTTTGCTTTAAGCCACTAAGAAAATGCATCTCCAAACCTCTTCTCACTGTGGTATCTGTCCACTTCCTGGATTTAATCTAAAGCTTATTGACCACAATGGGAAGACTCCCAGTTACTTCACTAACTTTTGGTTAGGAATTATTTTGCACTGTCCTTCTAGCATTTAGCTTTCTTTTGCTGAAAGTAATGAAAGATACTGATGTGGAAGGAACTGCTCTCATTTCTAGGTGAAGTTCAACTTCTGTCTTCAGTTTAGGTTGAAATTGCTCTGTGAGCAGTTATACTTGGTAGAAGTACCCAATGGGAGGTTGGAGAACCAGGCAGTTTGGTTCAGAGATGGACAGTGATAGGGCTGGCAATGGACACAAGTTTCAAAAAGGGCAATTCCTATTAGATATTAGTGACACACACCACCCCCCCCCCATCACTTTTAGGATTGTGGAACACATGAATAGGGGCCCACAGGTGTTGTGGGATTGATATCCTTGGGGATATTCAGAACTAGAATGGACAAGGTCCAGAGCAACCTTCTCTGAGTTGGCCCTGCTTTGAGGAGCAGGTGGGACTAGATGATTTCCAGAGGTCCTTTGCAACTTGAAATAGCCTGTGATACTAAGGTGTACCAATTTTTGAGGTGTAGGGGGAGAATGTGATGGGACTGACTAGCAACTAACTTAGTTAGTTGCTAAGTTATATAAGGTTCAGAGATAGTTGAAAAGCATGATGAATAGGATTAAATTGCTTGAGTGCTGGAAGGATGTGAGAGAGAGGAACTAGATAAGCCATTTTTGACCTGTGTTTGAAACCCTACAGTCTAGGGGTCAAAGGTTGATAGGAAAAGTAAAGGTATTGTCTGCAGGTCTCCATTTACTGTGCAGAAGGTGTGTCCTACTGGAAGACCCTTTAGCAGTCAAAAAGGACTGAAACATATAGTAGGACTCCTAAGGCTAGGAAATGGTTAGCATGGTGGCCCACAGGGCCCTGGTAAAGTGATGTAGGGGTGGCTGTTCTTATACACAGGGGAGAGAAGGTCCTTTTTTTAGCATGAACATATCGCTCCCTGGTGAGTCTCTGGTCTGTGATTTGACTATGGGAACAGGCAGTGGAGATGAAAGAGTAGAAGGTATGATCTTGGCTGGAAACATAAACCCCCTGAAAACTGCTCAAGGCTGTTTATCTTATAGGTGAGGCTCTTCCATGTTTCCTTATTATTTATCTTACTGGTGAGACTCGTCCATGTTGCTGTTCAGGTTTCACCTTATCAGTGAAGGGAAGTGTGAAAGGAACTTCCCTGGCAGGGCCAAGTGGACCTGGATGCAGAAGAGCGCCAAGTTATTAAAATATACATGAATTGAACGTGGCTGAGAAAATGCAGGGTTAATCTGCAAGCTGTAAGGATGAGATTCTTCCCATTATTTCTGTTATTTCACTTTATTCCCATTGTGTGCCTTTCTTGCATTTGGACTCTCCTTTTAAAAAAAAAAAAGGAAATTTTTCTAGTGATCTGGAAGATTCTTTTTTTTTTTTTAAAGAAAATAGTCTGCAGAATAATCTCCTCTCCTAGGCAAACAAATGTCTTCTTCAGAATAAAGCACGCATACACAAGAAAATTCCACTGAAGGAAGAAAAAAAGCATACTTGGCTTGGGCCCCTCTCGGCATTATCCGATATACAGTATTATGTTATCCTTAGATGGTCTGTTATTGTCTTCCTCCTCCTGAGCAACATGCCAGCAACCATATGTGTGCGAGCCGCTTGCTTAAACCGTATATTGAACTCTCTGCTGGCAGAGTGACAGTGTGGTCAAGTGGACAGCAGGCTCAAGTTGGGCGCAGTACCTGGCTCTGTGGCTTGACCAGCTGTGTAACCTCAGGCAAGTGACACCGTGTCTCTCTTCCCTTTCCTGTTCTCTGTCTGTTTAGACTGTGATCCCTCTGAGGGCCTCTGCCCTGCGTGATGCAGCACCCCATGGAGATGCCCAAGGTAGCTCCGGCGCTCGGAGGAATGCAGTTGTGTCAGTGTGATACCGCAGCCGAGCCAAGCAGCTTGGGAGGCTGGCTGGGCTTGGCCACAGGCCATGCTGATGTGGTTCTCCTGCTCTTCAGAATAATCTAGTCTCTCCGTATGGGCCTACATCACGCTGGCTGGATGTCCCAGCTTGTTTGGAGTCAGCTCAGGGAATCTCTGTGAGGAATTGGTGCTCCTGCGAGCTGAGCATGTGAATCCCTGGTGGCCAGAAGGTGATAGTTGATTCTCCTGGGCTGTCCGTTTCTTGGCTCAGTCTTCCAGACACGTGTATGTGCTAGACTTGATGCACCTGGCCTCATCTTCACCACAGCTGTGTAGCAGAGAGCAACATCAGAAGGGAGCATCAATTCCCTTTACCCTCATGATGACCATAAATGGTACCTGAACTTTCTCTGTATGCCTAGTTTGAAAGCTTTGGTCAAATCCAGTAAGGGCAAGTGTTGAGTGCTGCACCTGGGGAGGTTGAACCCCATGCACCAGTACAGGCTAGGGGCTGACCTGCTGGAAAGCAGCTCTGCCGAGAGGGACCTGGGAGTCCTGGTGGACGACAAGCTGACCATGAGCCAGCAGTGTGCCCTTGTTGCCAAGAAGTCCAATGGTATCCTGGGGTGCATTAAGAGGAGTGTGGCCAGCAGGTCGAGGGAGGTTATCCTCCACCTCTACTCTGCCCTGGTGAGACCCCACCTGGAGTACTGTGTCCAGTTCTGGGCTCCCCAGTTCAAGAAAGATGAGGAACTCCTAGAAAGAGTCCAGAGGAGAGCAACTAGGATGATAAAGGGACTGGAGGACCTCCCCTAGGAGGAAAGGCTGAGAGAGTTGGGCTTGTTCAGCCTGAAGAAGAGAAGACTGGGAGGGGACCTCATCAATACATACAAATATCTTAAGGGCGGAAGTCACGAGGATGGATCCAGACTCTTTGCAGTGGTGTCCAGTGACAGGACAAGGGGCAATGGGCACAAACTGAAACATAAGAGGTTTCAGTTGAATATGAGGAAAAACTTCTTTACTCTGAGGGTGATGGAGCACTGGGAACAGGCTGGCCAGGGGGGCTGTGGAGTCTTCTTCTCTGGAGATATTCAAAGCCCGCCTGGACAAAGTCCTGTGTAACATGCTCTAGGAGAACCTGCTTTAGCAGGGGGGTTGGACTAGATGATCTCCGGAGGTCCCTTCCAACCCTTGCGATTCTGTGATTCTGTGATCTAGGGCAGCTACTTGCCTAGGATACGGACAGCTACATAAAAACACTGGCTTGTATTGACGGTTAGTGGAGATCAGCACCAAAGATGGTGCAACAACACCAATTGGTCCTTGCCAGACATTTGGTAATATGCATGTGTTAAGTCGTGATTGGAAGAAGCATAGCTACTGTTGCCTAAATCTCCTAAATATGATTTTGCCTCTATTTCCATGATATCCATGCAAGAAGATTAATAGACAAGCAGGAGTGTTTCATGTTTTGTGTTGCGCCTGCATCTTTATCCCTCAGAAGCCATTCTTTTTACTGGTACCAAGTCATAATAGTGGGAATTCACAAACACTGTGTGTGCATATAAAATGCCTGGCCAGGGAATGATCTCTTTGGAGTAGATCCTCGGCTGTGCAGTGTGGAGCAGAGCTTCCTCACCTCCAGCTAGCCAAGGACTTGCGTGGAGTTGCATTTGGGAGTGCACTTTCTTCTTCATGGACTCCCACAGACTGCCGGTGAGATACAGCTGAGCTTCTCTACAACTCTGAAAGGAGTTCACAACTACCTTTACAACTTCTCTACAGCTACCTGAAAGGAGGCTGTAGTGAAGTGGGGGTCGGCCTCTTCTCCCACATAACATAGGACGAGGGGAAATGGTCTGAAGTTGCGCCAGGGCAGGTTTAGGTTGGACGTTAGGAAAAATTTCTTCACAGAAAGGGTTGTCAGGCTCTGGAATGGGCTGCCCAGGGAGGTGGTCGAGTCCCCATCCTTGGAGGTATTTAAAAGATGGGCAGACGAGGTGCTTAGGGACATGGCTTA